AGGCAACAACGATTGACCCTTGCTACACCCCATTCACAATACATGAGATTACTAACTCCATATGGTTCGGAACCACTAAAGGAGGATCGGGAATGATTGTACGAAGTGAGTCATGGAGTCACATTTGCCCGTATTAGCCTCTACTCGATTCTTATAGTGAAAAAATGATTCCTGCGATCTCAAAGGCATACAAACAGAATATTCAATTTGCTCCAAACTATTATTATACTAAATTGGTTGAATATAAATGCAACATATAATTCTAGAATATTAGTGATCACTTGATTAAATAATAAGATTGAAAAGGAACCTAAACCGGTTGTCCAAATTATCTTATTTGGCGTGATTTTCAAACATTTTCCCTTTAAACATGCAATATGGTGATCAATAAATATTAATAAAATTTACATTAATATTGAAAGCAATTTAGCAATAAATCCAGCAATATAAAATCGTTTGAAAAATAATAGAAATTAAAGGAACATAATTCTTACTTTGATTTTGTTTGCTTGCAACAATAAAACAATAAACTAGTTAGTAACTTCAAGGAAAATTAATATAAATAATAATAAAATTAAATTAAATTAAATTAAATATAGTTAATTTGGGGCCAAACCCTCAAACAATTCTACCTTTCACGCCTTGGTTTAAGGACATAATCTCGAGTAAAGTACGGACTCCTTGGATTGCTTAAGGAATTTTCAAAGAATAGGGTGGCTACTGTTTAGGCTAGAGCATAGAAGAGAGAAAATAAGAATTAATTGATTCCCCGTACAACAGAAATGAGAGGGGATTTATAGGGAAAATGAGTAGAGGGAACACACAAAACCCTAAAAAGGATAAAAACCCAAAAAACTGAATTTAAATAAATATGATTTTTGAGCACTCTCGTTATTAAATACTAAACTCGACCAATAATGGCGGTGAAAGATTGTTCATCATCAGGTTTGGTTTCGGGGAGACATTTTTAGGTGTCTACAGAAGCCCCCACTTTGACTGAGTTTGTAGAAACGTCAGTTTCAAAAACGGTAGTCAAAGTAGTCGATAGGGATGGAAAATGATTTAAGACCATCTGCGATCCTAAATCACTTTGTATACGCCGATACCTGCTGAAAAATGTTAATTCCATAGATAAAAGAGTAATGGGATAGAATGCATATCTGACACCAGTGTATTGGTGACAAATGTGTATGATAGCTTCCAATACTTGAAGGAATCCACCGAATGACGTTTTTTTGAGATACTTTCTATGCCTGAGGAAAGTCGGTAGATGAGTTTGGTAGTTTTGTATGCTTGAGGAAATCTATCGAATGATACTTTCCATGCTTGAGGAAAGTCGACATATGAATTGATGGTTTTCTATGCTTGAAGAAATCCACTGAATAATATTTTCCATGCTTGAGGAAAGCCGACAGAATAATTTGGCTATTTTTCTATACTTGAAGAAATCCACCGATAATACTTTCCATACTTATTTAGAAAAAGGCGACTTAACGTTTTTCGATACTTGAAGAAATCCACCGAAAATACTTTCCATGCTTGAGGAAAGCCGACTTGATGGTTTTCTTAACTTGAAGAAATCCACCGATAATACTTTCCATGCTTGAGGAAACCCGACAACTTATATAATTGCTGACTTATTTGCTTTGAGAGGTGACAACGACCGACAATTTTTCATGCTTGAAGATAAAACTTGTCTAAGGAACGTGGGCCGTAGGTGATTTACCTTCAAGTCGACTATCCGACCATATTAGGTACTAAGAATGTCGAAAATGTGATTATAATGCTTGTTAGGGGTAAATTGGTAATTTTTGTACCCTTTAAATACCAATTAGAATTTTCCGCATAATTCCGGTGAGAAAATAACTATCCAAAAGCTGCGGAAAATCGTTTAGACTTAGTTAAAGATTCCCGGAGTATTCACCAAGAGTTTTCAAGAGCGTGCAGGACACGCATTTGTGTATCGCATCACGTGAGAAAATATCGCGCCACGGCGTCCAGTCCCGTCTGACGATATATAATACCGTGACGAGGGACTTGTTCTTTGTAGAACTGGTCAACGTGCATCGATATACGCGCCGCGCCACGTCATGAACCTCGTTACACTGTAACGGCCATCGTGGCACAAGAAACGGAGCCGCGTAACGGCATCCTTTTGTTTTAAATTCGAGCTGTTTTTCACCATTTCATTTTATTTTAGCTGCTGCTTCTCCCCATTTTTACATTCTTGCATTTTTTCTTATAGCCTTTCTTTTGTTTTCTTTTTCTCACAAGAATTGCGTCACGGCGGAGCTATATAGGCGCACGTACATCCTCACCGTGTCGCGGCATCAGAAATCCTTACACGACGGTTTTTTTTCGCCCTTTTTTGTTTTGATTTCGTTGCTGCAACTGTTTGAGTGCCCTCCAACTGCTACCTCCATTTTACTTCGACGCTTTGGTTGGAACAACACCGTGACACGGCGTAATTTACTGTGACGCGGCGGGGATTGGCGTGCCGCGGCTTTGGAGTTGCTTTTGCTGCAGTTTTTCGAGCTTTTAGAGCTCAATTCTTCACCAAATTCTCTCCAATTGTTTGCTTTCTTCCTTATATTCAATTTCTTACAAGGATCCATGTAAGTTTTCTTTGCTTTTTGTCTCAAATTTTTCCGTGAATGCCATCTTTGCTTGAAACCCTAAAAAAATCAAATCAGGGTTTTTGTTTTTGAGCTTCTATGTCAAATATTTTCCATGAATTAGTTTGTATATGAATGTATGTTTCTATGTGAGCAATTTGAGACCAAGTTTGTGTGATTTGGTGATGAAACGAGCAAATCACCATTTTTTGGTACTAGTTGTGTGACATGGTGTTCTTATTGTTCATGTTAATTCTTTGCACTTGAAGTGGTGATATATTGGTTATAGATATTGGAAAATATGCCATGATGTGTCGAACCATTTTTTTTTGCAATTTCGAAATATGCTCTGTTTTGTGTATGTACTATATTGTCATGGTGAACATAGTATCATATAATATAATTAGGAAAATTGTAGTATTAGTTTGTTATGGAGAAACTAAGTACTAGAAATAATTATATTATTTTGCTAATTTTTAGCCTTGAGGTAAAATTTTTGCGTATAACAGAAAATGCAACTTGAGATCGCCGTTAAGCCGTTTTTGAATAAATAACTAAATAACTTAGGAAATGATTCTAAGTATTTAGATTTTTATTTTTGTTTGAATGTAATAGCAAGCCTAGACAACGGGATCAAGAAATTTCTACTCGTGGCCGGCGTCAGGCTTTTCGAGAGGACACTCCCACAATTACCGAGGTCATTGACGACGATGCCTTAGAGATTAATCCTCGCCCTTCTATGGGTAGGGGTAGGTGGAGTCTACCTATGTGGACACCAGACGAGTTGGTTTTCTGTCGTGAGAACCATATTTCTCGTTGTCCACTTACTGGCGTAGTTGACGGCATGCTTAGCCATCATGGATCAGGATCTGGGGATTTGATTCCCCGGCTATGTAGGATTATCACGAGGGATCCTGTCACTAATGCCTTGTGGAAGTCTGCCGGTTTAAGAGATTTCTATTCAGCAATCATAGGATTTCGCAGCCCCCGGGGTTGTGGTTCGATAGTTGTTCGAGCATTGTTGGAGTATGTTGGGATACTACCAACACTTTCCACTTTTCTTGGGGGGAGACAACAGTGACCCTTCTAGATTTTAGCATGATTAGCGGCTTACGCTTCACCGAGCGGGTTGTACGGCAGATTTCTGACCTCACTTGGGGGGCGGCTGAGGTAGCTGATTTGTTAGGTCCTGTCGTTCAACATATCACGACTCGGACGGTGCCTCGAGCTGGTCCTAAGAGTGGGTGATCAGAGTTGGCTTATGTTCTTGCCCACAGCTTTGACATAGCTGAGACGACACCTGACACTAGTGGAAAACAGGACATCCGTAACGGGCAAAAATGATCCATCCATAACGGGCAACGGTCGTTACGTATGCGACCGTTACAGATAGCCTTTCTTATTCGTAATGGGCATCGTCCATTACGAATAATAGGTTATTCGTAACGGGAACCTAAAAAAACGTTACGAATAACCCATTGTTCGTAACGACCTTTTCAGGTGCCAGTTACGAATAATCCCGTTATTTGTAACGGGCTTTTCAGGTGCCCGTTACGAATAACGGGGTTATTTGTAACAGGCAGGTTCTGCCCTGTTACGAATATTGTGAGATCTAATTAAAAAAATAATCCAGCACATGCTGGACAACTAGATTGCACAATTATTTCATCAATTAATTTATATATATATATATAGTATACACTTAATGAGTTTTCCAAAACTTGAGAATCTAACATGGGAAATCGATCTGTGTTGTAGTTCCTGGAGTGAGTGATTAACGATTAATATACAATCGGCAAAAGCTGCTTTAATTTTTTCCTAATAACTAATACTAAAACTAAAAAAAAAAAGATCCTTCCAAAAAAAAAAGAATTCCTGCCTGTTACATTTTCCCGTAAAAACAACATTTACACAAACCAACCGCCCAAAGTCTAATAAAGCCCTAAAAATTCTCACAAAAATTGAAACCGTCACTACTACAAAAAATGGTTTAGAGAACTGTTAAAATAGGCTTTATAGAATGCCTCAAGACCGTTCTTCTGCTAAGCGATGTATTAAGTATATAGAACGGTTTGAATAGGCGTTTTGTATACTGAACTATAGAGAACGATTATGTCTGATCATCGTTCTCTATTCCCTATCTAAAATTAGATAATAATGAGGGAAAGACAACGGTCATAATACATAACCGTTTTGTTTTCCCTTACCAAAGAGAACGGTTTGATATGCCAACCGTTCTCTATTCCCCTTTTTTTTAAAAAAACAAATACAAAATAATTGGTGAGATAGTAGGCAGCTAATTTGCAAATTAAAAAACTAAGTTGTAGAGTCGTAGTAAATACATAATGGATGTCAAACTAAAATACCGTCTACTGAAGTACCAAGTACTGAAAAGTTATCGAAACTTATAATTAAATTGATAAAATTTTCGTACAACTCAAATGGAAGTGAGATAAGAATAACAAGATATCAAATAAAAATAATTCTACAAGAATCTCTTTTCTTTCAATGATGCTGACCTAGAAAAAATCATATATATGCAGTACTTAATCTTCTCAATTAGTTTTCATCTGCAATTCTGCATCAACATAACAAAAAAAACATTTAAATTTCGAATCAACAAGCAATAAAAACAAATAACCTAAATTATTAAAAAAAATTCTTCAAAAAATCTTCCAAATCGAAGAGTAGAAATGAAAAAAAAAATCAAAGAAAAATCTAAAACTCTAGCAAAATCCAACATTAAAAATTGAAATCATAAGCATTTGGATATATCGATATTAACACAAAATTTCAGATCATATACCAAAAAGTGCTTGGATTTGCAGAATGTTTAACCAAAAATACTTAATTAATTTGGATTAATTTTGGAACAACATGCTAAAAAAACTAAAACCTCAATCATAGTTTGAATAATTATACAATGAAACCGGATTAAAAAACCATAACAAGATCTGAGAAACTAAATTTAAACGAAATTTAACGTAATAAAAGAAGAATGATTTACATTGAAATTGAATCTTATAGACTTCGATATGTTGATATAGCTTTGAATAACAAAAAGGACAAACTTATAATTACCGATTGTGGCCATAGGCAATGGGAAATTGCAAAAATAATTTTACAGGAGTTGCATTGCAAAAGCGTCTCTGAGGAGAAGAGAAAGAAGAAACCTGTGAGAGGGATGAGAATGAAGGCATGTAGCGGCGGTTGAAAAGTTAGAGTAATGAAAGAGGATGTAGAGTTGTGCTAGGGTTATATTATCTAGTTTTTATATATTTATTTATTTTTAAATATAATTAAATCAAATAGAACGGTTATCAATGAAAGGCGTTTTCTAGGTAAAGTCATGTTTTTATTAAAAATTAATAATAAATCAAATAGAACAGTTAACTAGGGAGGCGTTCTATAAGATTCAACATATAAAACGGTTATCTAACATAGCCGTTCTATAAAATTATATAGATCGACTATCTTTCCTAACGGTTGTGTATTATGTGCTCCATATTCCAATTTTTGTAGTAGTGCGTTGTCTTTCTCCTATACATTTTCCCGCAAAAACAAAGGAGCAGCTCTAGAAATAGTTTGGTACCACTCTGTTCTGAACTCAGTCTCATATACATGGTTGATAACCCGTCAAATACAGCCAGCAGGGCGTCATTAATTTGGTTGTACCATAAAATGAATCGCAACTTCAGAGTTTAGACACATACCTTTACGCAAGCAGCCCTACATAACTCAACTGAATCTCTGACTCCAAGGCGACATGGACCCTACAAATTAACCCATTAAACTACTTAAATTTCGATGAAACATTTTAATGACATTCAACTCCATATTACCAGCATAAGTCGACATAAACATGGAAAGCACCAAATCAAGTACCAGCAATTTTGAAACGAAAGGAAGCAACATAAAGTAAATAATTATCAGGTTATGAATTTTAAAATATTATGTAATTTATTGGCTTCAAATATGTATTCTCAATAATTATTTTGTCACTCAATGTCCTTATATTAATTATTTCTTGTTTGCAAATGTACTAGATTAATGCACCAAATCAACTGTAAGATCTAACAGCAAGTCATCAAGTATGAGAATTAGTACAATAAAGTGCCCCTGAGACATTAGTTATGGTCTATTTGCAACTAAAACTGGCAGGATGCTTCCTCTACTACAATGTATTAGTAATACGACTTTTGTAATGTAATAAATTGTTCCAATGAATCAATATGGTGTTTCTCATTTTATACAGTGATTATGTGTTTATTCATGACTTAAGGTAAGGATCTATAGTAGCGTCACACATAGACATAATAATTGTAATAAACAACTTAGGACTTAATCTTACGCTTTACAGAATCTCCCATTCATCTTCAAATAGTTTTCATTATGAATACCCACCACATCCGAGTGTAATAATACTAGTTTGCTCTCATTCCTCATTCTCAATTGGAAGACAGAGAAAGTGAAACTTAAGTGAAATTGTAATATAATTCTTGATACTCAACAGGAAGATAGAGAAAGACTCTTAGGTCATAGAACACAACATTCTTGATCACCTCCAATGTTGTGAACCAACAATAATTAAAGACAAATTGCACACTCAGAAATAGGAGGGGACAACTATGCACTAGGAGACAAATGCAATTAACATTCCACTAGAAGAGGAGGCAACATAAATTAGCAAACCTGAGATACTACAATATAATGGGGCCAAAGTACATTAATGTTAGGGTTATTTTAGTGCTTGAGAATATAAGAGAAATAGGGTAGCAGTAGGAAATTAGGCAGAAATTTGAGTGACATTTTGAATGTGAGATTAGTAGCCTCAAGCTACCACCAAGAGTTATAGCTTAAGCCCTTATTTATATTCGTAACCCTTTTGCTAGTTCAATCAAAAAGACTCAAGCTTCCTTATTTATTTTACAAACAGCTTACAAAATTTACTGCAGTAACATCAGTCTCGCATCCAATTCTATCAATTAAATTAATCTAACAATCTAGGACAAAGACTTGTGAAACTGTAACTCAAACAATATAGAGATAGATCAATGGCTGAAAACCAATCTATAGATTAACAATTTAGTGTTTATGTTAGATAAGAAGTTCTATGCATATATTTCCTTTCCTTGCATGATACTATGTCTTAGAGTTCAATTCAGTTTAACTAAAAGGAGCAGGGCCTTAACTTGTTTTACATATATCATCAGTGACAACATAAAAAGATTATAAGAAAACAAATTCCAGCAACGCAGCAAGTAAACCCAGGCAAAGCTAAATGAGAGCAGAATAACCATATATACCTATTGTGCAATAGAAATCTTGAGTGAACTTCACCTTGAAGCAGAAGTGCGACAGTAGTATTAATGCGCTCTGCATACATAAAGAGAGTCTCAATGAGCCATGTGATCAGTACTAGTACTTGGTACTAGCTATATGATAATGTGTGCTCAAATTTCATAAATCACTAATATATAGGACAAGGCAGAGGAGTTCATCAATTTAGGACATGGGAGTGTTATATATATAAGTATTCCAGCATGCAAATTGTAGTTGTAAACATGATCGGTAAAGAACAATAGCAATGAAGCACCTGTCACTTCTATTCCAAGTTTCAAAACCTGCCAATAATTCTAACATGGATATAAGTCTGGGGAAGTCAGTTTAGGAATTGACCAAGCTTTCTAACACCCTATGCATATATTTGCTAGGTAATTTGCATTTTGTAGATTGTTTTTAGTAATCCCCTAGAGCACAAATATGATCTTCCTATTGTCTTAAACTTGTTCACCTCAAATTATTGAAAATCTCAAAGTAAACATGCAAAAAAAATAAAACATTGTCGTTTCCCACATCACTTGTTCATCTCAAATTATAGCAAAGTAAAACCAACAATTAAAACCTTCAATCAGAATACATCAAAACATATGAAAAAACCCACACTAAAACAACAAAATAAGCTGAAAACTATCACATAACACAACATTCCAAAAATAGAAAAATTTAATAATCCAGGATAGAGAAAGCTGAACATACCACGGAGCAACAAATCTTAGAGAGAGGAACATCGCGAGAATCTCTCTAATCAGACGACTGTTTACCAACAGTAGTACTAATAATCGACTGTGCCGATAATCTATCCTTATCTTTACCATTCAATCCTTTCGAAGTTAAAGGCAATGATCTCTCCAAATGTTTATCCTACGCATCATAGATCTAAATTTAGATATGACATTAGTTAAACAGAATTTATAAGTTTCAGAAAGAAAAGAAAGAGAAGAATACCAAATCATAACCCTAACTTTTAAATCTGTAGAAGAGAAAGAACAAGAACTTATCTTTCCATTGTCGTGCGTGGCTGCCACCGTATTCTTCTTCTCTGGGTTGAGCAGCATCGCTTTACTTCATCCAAACCTTCTCAACCTCCTCTGTCGTGAGATTTCACCGGAAAATGGCTTTGACTGCTTAGAATAGTGTCGAAAATTGATAAATATTGGTAGATGTTGCGGAGGAGAAAGAATTGGAAAGAGATCTAGCCATTTTTATTATATTTTGATTGATTTTCTTTTTTTTAAGACAGATTTTGATTGATTTTATAGAAAGATGGCAGGATTGGAGGAGAGCCGAAAGTTGAGGGATGAGAGAGTATGTGTGAAATAGTGGAAGGCAGCTCATTATGGAGTATGTCTCAGCCCTGCACCGTGCTGTAAATAGCAAGGGGCATTTTCGAGTTTTCTCAGTTAAGTGAGTGTATTTTAATACTTCATACGTATATAAGTACAAATATAAAAACACAACATACCCGTTTGAATTAGAATTTCTGTTTCTTCATCTACCACATAGCTTAAGTTTTCCCGCTTGTGTAGAGTTAGTGCAGAGGTCTGTTCTTCACCATTTTCGTCCACGAGATGAGGGTTTTCGATCGGGGTAGCCTTCGCATTTCCAATGAAGGGATGAGGTAAGTTTTAATTCGTAGTAGTTGTACTTTAGGGTTTGAAGTTGCGATTTTGCGACACTGAATGGGTCAAATGTTGATTGAATTATTAGCGGATTGTGTGTAATTGTTAATTGATATTAATCAGTTATGTACTTGTTAATGCCATTTTGAATTAAGAAGTAATTTTGAAATTAGGGTTTGGGGTTTTGTGAAATTGGTAATTGAATTAATCTAATAATCGCATAATTGTGATAATTAGTGTTTGAATTAAATTATTAGTTTGAAATTAGTGATGATTTGATTTTGTGATGTTTTTTTAGAACCCGCATGTAGAGAATTATCTAAGTATTAGCTTTTGTGAAGTTGTGATATGGAGTTGTATGTGTGGCCATTTTGTGCAGTCGTGTTGTTGTTTTTTATGCAGTTTTGTAATTGATATTCATGCATGCAGTTTGGTAGTTGATTTATATTTGGTTTAATTGTGAAGTGTGTAGTTGCAAATTGTGTATTTGATTTAAATATGATTGAATATTTGATTTATATATGATTGAATATTTGATTGGTTATTTAACTGAATGTTTGATTGAATATTTGATTGAATATTCATGAATTGTGAAGTTGCATAGTGAAGTTTGAATATTTTATATTCATGAGTTGAAAGGTTGAAGTTGATTGAATTATTGTGAAGTTTTAAGTTGCATCATTGTTAAGAGGCATTATATGAAGTGGGTTAGTCCTTCTTTGATATTCAGGTAAAGGGATGGCCATTAAGGGTCGCAGGAAGAAACAAGTGACTAAGTATCAAGTAGAATCAAGTGATGAATTATCCTCTAAATATTCGTCAAGTGGGTCGATGTCAGAATCTGATTTTGAGTATGAACCTAAACCAGATTTTGATCCAATAATGCAATATAGTGTTGTGTGTAGTGATGATGTTAGTGAATGTTACAGTAGTGGTGATGAGGTAAAAGTTGAATTTGTAGTAGAAATTGTGATTTCTGTTGAGGTAAGACATGATAACATGTATGTGGAATGATGTATATGCATTGATATGCAGGTTAGGAAGGCACAACGCAAAGCGAGAAGGAAAAGGAAGATTGATCCGAAGGTGTTTGTGGTGAGTTGGTTTGTTTTTATGAATATAGGCATCCAATTTCCTATAGTTATGGGGGTATTTATGCAATTTTCTGGTATAGGACAATTCCAAAACTTTAGGAGGAAAGGTGAAGGAGGATGGGATTGTCATTGCTTCTTTTAAGAGCAAAAAGAAGCAAGAAAAAGGTATTAAATCAAATCCCTTGCTCTGTTTTGAGAATAGTATCAAAATGCTAGAAATTGGGAACAGTAATCATGTTTTTGTGTCACTTTTTTGGGCAAGTAATGAATGTCTACTGCCCCGTGGAGACATTAGGTAGGATTTTAGGCAGTTTTGATGAAAGCAAGCAGCGTGTCGTCAGAAAAATGGGTTTTGGTGGCTTGTTTTATCTCAAGGGGCTGCCTCGACAGTTGGCCTTCTAGCTTTGTACAAGGGTTGATCTGAGTAGAAAATACATGTTGACTGTTGATGGACAAGTCTTACCATTGGACCCAATTCAGGCCATTAGGTGTTGAGCCTTCCACATGGTCCTAAAGTAGTACCAAAGAAGGTGGTGAACCAGGATTTGGAGGATAGACTCTGGAATACATATAACACAAAAACAACTTGCGGGACTAGAGGCATAACTAGGAAGACACTTGTGCAATATCTAGAGGGTCCTTGTGTGGATGAAGATGAGTTTAAGAAGGTGTTTCTAATGTATGTTTTGAGCGTACTTTGTTCATCGACATGCCATCGTATGAAGAAGCAATTTCTTCATAGTGTATCAGTGGCAGACAATGCTCCTCTGTATAATTGGTGCAAGTTTGTACTTGATGAGCTAATGAAAGCTCTAGGGCAGTTTAGTATAAGGTTCTATGGTGATGATCTTAATTTTAATGCAAGTTGTGGTGGATGTACCTTGTTCTTGGCGGTAAGTTTAATTTAAATTGGAATGATAGATTTGATGTTGATATCAATGAGTGTTTAATAATAGGCTATGTAAATTTGTAGGTGTTTTATTTGGACCGGCTTAATCGCTCATCCCTTAAATGGGGTGAGTTTCCTAGGATCAAAGTGTGGTCGAGGCAGGAGATGAACAACGCATTATCTGCTGATCAGTTTGAAAGTGGTGATTATGAAGCCCTTGGTGTAAGTGTTTACAAACTTTAGACCATTTGTGCTAAATTTTTGCTAGTGTGTTAATGTGAATTATGGGCGGGATCACCCTTTAAATACAGGAGACATCTTGCCTTGTAGGAGTAAAAGATTAAAAGACTGTGTTGAGGTTTGTCTTTTTTATTAACTATTTAGTGTTTGTGATTGAGGTTATGTGTTGATGATAAAGAAATTTTTGATTTATTAATCTGTTTCCTTAGGTCCTAAATGCTTTAAAGAGTGTATTGAATGTTGAAGTGGATGTTGAACTGGGTGAAGAGGAAGTGGATAGTAATCCCAAAATTGTGAAGAGGAGAAGAATGGCAACCACCGATCGGTCGTTTGGTCGTGCTCCAAATTTAGGAGAAGGTTATTACATCTTCCAAATCTATATAATTTTCCTTGTTTTAAATAAGTATAAATTTTACAACTAGCATTCTGATTTTGTGATCATTTTGATCATATATGCAGCTAATCCAAAAGTTATGGTGAATTTGGCTCCGGTGGAGAATTTGTAGATTAACGATGCAGACACGGCAGGCGATTTGCAGAAGTCGATTAATCTGGTGGGGAATGTTGTGAAGGAGTTCAATTCTAACTCACTTGATAAAGATTTTTATCAAGTACAGAGTGAAGAGATTTTGTCAAACTCAGATGTAGATGTCAATTCTTTAGTGTGGAATGTTACTCATTTTGTAGGTGCTCTTTTTAATGGTGATGCATTTGCGCCCAATCAGTCATACATATTGATTGAGAATCCAATGCAGCTTAACATGCCGGGTAACCAGTATATGGGACCTAAGTATACTTTGGGAAATGATTGTTCAAACTTTTGTGAAACCAATGTGTTTAATGGAATGTTCTCAAGCAATAGCTTGGATAGCTCCCCAATTTGTGTTCAGGAGCAGAGAGTGGGTCAACTCAAGGGAGAGCATAAGGAGAAGGAGATTAATGAAGAGAGATTATCTACAGAGAAGGAGATTTGGCAGCAGACATTGGAGAAGGATAAAAATGACACTGGAATAGTATTGGATAAGGAGAAGGAGAAAGAGACTGAGAATGAGAAAGAGAAGGAGAAAGTGGATCAGAAGGAGAAGGAGAATGAGGATCAGAAGGAGAATGAGAAAGAGGATTATAAGGAGAAAAAATATCAGAAGGAGAAGGAGAAAAAGGAGGATAAGGAGAATGAAAAATTATATGAGAAGGAGAATGTGGTGAATGAGAAGTAGAAAGAAAATGAGAATTTGAAAAAGTATGAGAAGGAGAAAGAGACTCAGAAGTTGAATGAGAATGTAAAGGTGAATGAGAATGTGAAGGAGAAAGAGAATGAGAAGGAGAAAAAGAATGAGGAAGAGAATGATAATGTGAATGACAAGGAGACTGATAAGGAGAATGTGAAGGAGAAAGATCATGATAAAGAGAAGGATCAGAGTGGTAAGGCGCAACTATTGGAAGGACAGGAGAAGACATTAGAGAATGTGAATGGTCCTGAAATATCTGATGATGTGGATGGGCATGAGATTACATTTGAATCTGAAGATGAACCGGTAACCCCGTTAAAGCTCTGAATCGCTGCAAAGAAGGAGATGTTGAGGAGGAAATTTGAGCGTAGTAGGAGACAAAGGAAGATGATTGGGGTTCAAACACTGCCAATGTACTATGTTACACACTGAAGGCAAAATATATTCGTAGGTTCCGGGATTCATTACTCCAGTATGTGATGGATAATTCATCCGGTCGACTGCGGAGCTTGGAGTGAGTCCCTAGTTAACCTAACTATCTTTATACTTTCATGTCACCAATTTGATTTTTTGCTAATTTACTACTTTTGTGTTGTAGTTCTGAGTCAACTATGCTTTGCATTGATGGGCATATGGTAAAGTTGAATTTATGTGGAATGCTTGCTAGTTGTGTGGGTGAGGTTTGCGATCAGGTAACTATTTTAATTCTTACCTTAAGCACTAAACTTAGTTATGTTTGTCTCATTTTGACATTTGGTATGGTTTTATGTAATCAAGTATGTTAGGGTTGTCAGAAAAATGTATGAAAAGGTCTGGGAAAAGCAATTTTCTGGTAAAAGTAGGCGTTTCATACTAGATCCATCATATCATTTGGAGTAAGTTGAATTACCAACTTCATGTTTTCCTATAAACTGGAATGTGAGGTATGTTCTCTTAATTTTTTTGTGTTGACCTGTAGACTATGGTATTGAATGCTAAAGGTCTGACTCAGAAAATTCAAAGGACTATCAAGGCGTATTGCAAACATATGATGCAAACCCCCACTAATAGAGTCAATGTGGTAAAATGCTTTAGATAATAAGTATGCTTTAGAAGTTATTGTTGATCTGTGTGTTTGTAAGGTTTGGATAGATATTGAACTACATCTCTTGGTATAAAATCACCAGGTTTTTGTTCCTATATGTCGAGATGGCCATTGGTGGTGTGTTGCATTTTCAA